TTATTTTATTTTGGTCAGGAATTATCTAAAAAAAATTCGTCAGTAATTTCCGATTTTTTGCTGGACAGAAAATGCACAGCATTTCCTTACCATTTTTCTTCTATAGTTTTTGACAAATAACTGGTCCAAAAATACTGAACAGTATTTTCAGTTTTTGCTGGGCAGAAACTATCCAATATTTACTTACTATTTTTCTTACATAGTTTCTAACAAAAAACTACCCAAGAAATACTGAACAGTATTTTCAGAGTTCTTAATGGACAGAAACTGTCCAGTATTTACTTACTATTTTTTCAAATCTAGTTTCTGACTAGCTATGAAAAAATAGCTAATATTTTCTGCTAAGTTTTAAAACAGTAACTGTCTAATTAATCCTAATCAATAAAAACTGTCTAGTTACTGGCCAGTAATCAGTTTTTCTCTCAGATGTTTCTACTTGTGTTACTTTAGACATATAGAACGAACGTTAACCCGTCACCCAATCCTTAAACGACAAGGTGCAATTATGGGGCATAAACGACATTTTTGAGTTTATTTTCTCCTTCTGCATATTAAAATTTGTAGGATAAATAAATTTAGTACAAACATATTTTTTATTGTATATAAAAATATTTTTTCAGTGTAATATCTGATTTTGGCGTAAACATATCACAAAGTTTCAATAGATTGCGCTGAAAAATATGCGCCGAATGAAATTATCTTTGAACTCCACTTTGTCGTTTAAGGATTAAATATAAATATTCTTTTATAAGGAATTTATTCATTTAAACCAAAGTGCTTAAAATTATTACAAAATGTAACATTTATCGCAGTAAAATACATTTGTAGTTGAAATTTCGTACGATTTTTTTGCACCGTTCGTAAGAAATTTTAAACTAAATATCACAATTTTGCACATATAATCTTATCTGATGGAAGCAATACAAACGGCTCTTATCACACAGTATAACTTTGTAAAAAATGATATTATCAAATAAAAACACTTACTGTTATAAATGTTATAAATGTCACATATTTAGCGAACGTGGCATAAAAGAAAAAATAGCCTTTGTTACATCGGTTTTGTGATAGGCTAGTTGTTTTATGTTTTGAGTAGGATTGCAATACCGAATAAAACGTGGCGAAGTAATATCATGAAATTAATTCCAAATTAATATTTATTTTTTAGATAGCGAAATCAATATATGAAACGTAATTTTGCTCGATAAATAGTGGATTTATGAGCAACTCTTTTGGGCGTCCTGAAATTACACACCTGGTGAATAATTTCAAATTCCGTTTTTCGTTTTACGAGCGTCCTATATCACGTCATTTCAGTTTAAGAGTCAGAAATGTATATTCAGTGTTCAAATACGCGTCCAAAATACGATCCCTGATTGCTTCTTCTACGCGAAGACGTATTGCGCATTTCCGGTACATAAAAAAGGGCATTCTTGTTTGGAAAATATTTTTATTATTGACATTTTCTAAAAATAAGATTAATGTTAAAATAAGATTATATGACGTTGAACGAAGATAAATTAGTCTTTAGGCAAGATGAATATATTTAAATTAACACAATTATATCTTCTCATATATAACCAACATTATTATTATTGCTCATGTATGAGAAAATGATTGTGTTAACTTGACTATATTCGTCTTGATTAAAGACTAATAATATATAACCAAGAATATTAACATTGTAATATTCTATGAGAAAATAATGTGTTAATTTGTTATATATTCGTCTTGAAAACAAATTTATTTTCATTTAACGCCATATAATCTCATCTTAACATTAATCTTATTTTCAAAATGTCAATAAAGATATTTTTTAAACAAGGATATTCTTTTTTCCATAAATTCGGCGCAGACCCATATTAATCGTTTCGGCCGATAAGCGACGAAATCCCAAGAAATGCCGACGATACGATAAGCACGGCGACTCGCGTCGCGCGGTCCCGCGTTTCCGCGGGCCCCTCCGGCTGCGCTATTATTTTATTAACAATAATGAAAGCCGGTAATTAAACATTCACACCCGGCGGCGCCGACGTTGGCGGCAGCAGCAAAGTCGCTCGCTCGAGTATTCCTCGTGGCAGCTCATCCGTATAACAATTTAATTCGAGCCACCCCAGCTACCGGCGCGCCCGGGGGTTCGCCTAACTTCTGCAGCACTTCGCAACACTTCGCTTACTTATTCACAACAACCGAGTTAAGCCGAGGCTCGTTCGAAAGCCGGGGCTCCAGCCGAAACGCCTCGGCGGATCTGCCGAATGGAGATAATCGGCGCCGTGAGGCTCCGAGAAAGCCCGCGAGCCGTGCGTTTTCGTGAGACCGCGGAACGACGGGAAAACTGAAGCATTTCGCGCGAGCGATCTGACTTCTCCCTGCGAATTCCTCAAAAAACATTTTTTTCGTGCTAACTTAAGCCTAGGTATACACACTTATTTTTCGTAGATGCTGTACTGGACTCTGAAGGACTAGCTACTTTTTTTTATTATAACTCCGGTAAAAATCACGTATTTTGACTTTTCTTTTCCCGACTGTTAATAGACTGATAAACACATATATTTATTAAGAATTAGAATTAAATTATAATAAGTATCATATAATAAAGACGTGTTGAAACATTAGAATTATTCATAAATGCAAAAACGTCATTTTACCGTAATAGCTTGAAAAATGCATATCTTTTTTGGTAATAGAGATCATCGAAAAAAATTTTCAGATTTTGAAAGAGCATGTTTCAAGGTACAAAGAAAAAAAATTGTCGCTTAAATATTGGAATATTCTCATGAAAATTATTAAGGTTCCAAAATTGACGATTTTTCATATTTCTATTTTCTGGCGGTTTTGCAGACAGGAGTAAGGATTTTTGTTAAAAAATACAAACTCAATAACTTGTAATGCATGTAACAGAAACAGAAAAAGAAAAACGTCAATAATTTAAGAGCGGCAAATAACATTCACCCAACAAGGCAATGTCATTTTGAGCGTTTAGTCCATGTGTTTCTGTCTCCCAATAAAAATTAGTTTTTTTTTTTACATTACTTATTCAATCTAACATTTTTTAGAATATATATTTACACTATGAACTCGAATAAAATTAATTACAAAATATACTTACTTGCAAAAAAGTTGCATGAAGCACACACTGGGATCTGGGAAACCTCGGGCTTACTTTACGTGTGAATTACCACAAAACCGACAGACAGTTGACTGCTGCGACAGTTGCTATCTATAGAGGAGACTTCAAATTTTTTTTTACACGGCAGTTGTATCCTCCTTACTTATTCTCTCTACTAATACTAGAGTTTCAAACTTTATCTGGAGTCTCGAAGACCCCAGTGTGTATAACTAGGGTTAACACAAGACTATGTTAACTATGTTCACTATGTTATAATCACAACTTACTTATGCACTTTGTGTGCATAAAATATGTCACAAAGAACGTCACACATAAATTGTGTTATTTTAACTCTCAGAAATGATGAACGTCAATTCAACGCGAAATAGTCGAAACAGCACAACATGTTGAATTAACGCGCGGGTATGTTAAAAATTTAACACATAACTTTCCACGCGAGTTGAATTCAACACAAGCGCAAAATTATTCTTATCGTATAGGATCTCGTGAGGTTGGAAATCGCGTCACGCTTAAAGTCGGCAGACTTAATGCGAATGAGGGCGCATTCTTACTTGCACGTACAATTTATTCCCACTGAAAAAACGGCGAAAGATGGACAAAGTTTAGGTATCGCTGCTCGCGCGACTTTCGTCGCCCGTCCCACGCCGCACAGTTGGCGCAAACGTGACGGTTGTTCCCCTAGCTGCGAGAGTTCCGAGGAGGATCGATGTCGTAGAACGAGAAGAATCCGCTCGACATTTCCTCTCTTGACGGGTATAATTGACGCGAGAGCTTCCGACGTGGATGCGAAGCTACTCGCGGAGACATTCGCCGAGTGAGGGAGGGTGAGAGAGGGTGCGAGACAGAAGAGAGAGAGAGAGAGAGAGAGAGAGAGAAGGAGAGAGAGAGAGAGAGAGAGAGGGAGAGAGAGAGAAGAGATAAAGACGAGGAGGCGAGGAAAGTCAGAGTTACGAACTATGCGAGCGACGTGTGGGTGCCTCGAGGTGCACGTCAGATGCAAATCATGCCGACTAATTTCTCGGAAAACTCACGGATCCGGAGGGAGAGAGAGCAGACCGAATATCCACGGTGAGATATGTACGTCCGAGCGGCATAATAGCGTAGCGATAAAGCCGAATCGCCGAATTAATTATACCCCCGTGTCTTTGGTTGTCCGAAACAGTTCAACCATTCGGCGCTAACAACCCTTTGGTTCTGCTAGTTATCAAAAGCTGCTTTCACGTACACGTTGATTAACCCTTTGGGACCTGAATTAATTTTTCTACATATATATATATACAGATATCGATATATTAATATTTTATTTATATTTAAAATACAAAATCCATACACGCATAACCAGGAGGAACAAAATGGGCTTTTTAATTTTAAATTTCGCTCCTTTTGAAAAGCTTGAATTCGCGCGATATAATAATAAAATTACTTATTTAATTTAACGGTGGTAAATAATTAAATCATATTTAAAAAATCGTCATTTGCTCTCTCCCTCTCTCTCTCTCTCTCTCTCTCTCTTTCTCTCTCTCTCTTTCTATGTTCTCGCACGTTCTTTGAATTTTTATCGTGCCATTAGAGACGTTCTTTAACGGGTAGTTTGGAGATCGATTAACTGTCGCATCAGTATCAAATAAATTGCATTAGGTGGGAAAAGGATAGGCAACGCAACGAGATCCGCGCCTTTATATCGCTTGACGGAGGTCGATGGCATTTCAGCGTATTTAATGTCACTCCTCGGCATTTGCTCGACCTTTCTTACACCCTATGACTCTCTGGTCT